CCCCAAAACCCCAAAACCCCAAAACCCCAAAACCCCAGAGGGGTGCCACGGTTGGGAGATATTAATTTTATTCGAATATTAAAATAATTATTGGCATGATAGGACATCATTGAATTTTCTATTCAAAATCTTCGATGAGAAGATCATCATCAGCTGTCTTGACATCATCTAGGAATTTTAGAAATGGGGTTTTGACGTATCCCTCACTTTTAGGACCTATAGAAAAGGTTAGATTGTTCTGGTGGTTATAAAAAATAAAAAGAGCCTTAAAATTTTACCTTTGGTTCCATTCTTAAGTAACTCGTCCCAGTCTAGCCCGTCAAAGAAGGGATGCTTCTTGATTTCTGAGAAATCTGTAACTCCGATCCTCTTAGAAGGGATCTTGTTAAGGAATCTGCCCAAAAGATCAATAGCAGCTGGGGTGACATGCTCAGGAACCTTCAACTCATAAGAGGTTTTTATTTTATCGAAGAGTTGATCTCTATTAGCATGGAAGAAAGGAGGTCCTCCAGTAAGGAGTTCATAAAGAACAACGCCAATTTGGTAGATATCACTGGCTTTGTTAAACTTTTTCTCTTTTAATAACTCTGGTGCAAGGTAGGCTGGTGATCCTCAAAACGTATCAGTTGAGTTCATCCCTATCATTCCTTCCTTAGCTAGTCCGAAGTCAGTAATTTTGATATGCCCATTAGAGTCCATCAAGATATTGTTTGGTTTTAAATCTCTGTAAATAATATCTTGGGAGTGAATATATTCTATTGCAAGGATCACCTCTGCGATCAAGAATCTTGCAACTTCTTCAGGGAAGTAATTATGATTATCTAGGTGATGACTCAAGTCCCCTCCAGAACAATAATCCATAGCTAAGAACAAATGTTTTGATCCTTGGAAAGAGTGATACATCTTCACAATAAACGGATGGTCAAGCCTTTTCATAATAGCTCACTCTGAAAGTGCGTACTTCATTTGATCTGCTGTCTGCAACATTCTCCGTTTGATTGCTTTAATAGCGTATTCGAAGATTTGATCTTCTTTATTTTCTTCTTCCTTCAGAACAGCTTTGAATACCTCTCCAAAGGTACCTTTACCCACCTTTTTGATTAGTTTGAAGTTCTCAATGGTCACATTAGAATCTTCCACATTAGTAAGGTAACTGAGGGAATGCATATTTGTAGTGGAAGAGGCTTCCTTAGTGTCTTCTAGATCTTCATCGACACTCTTTTTGGTCTGAATTCTAGAAATCATGCACTATTATGCTTACTTTTTCTGTGAAAATGCAGTGCTCGTTAGCTTCTTCGGAATTTTATCCATTCTAAAGATTTAGACAATGGCTTACATCTGAGTTGAATTATTCTTGGCAGTTGATTGAAGCATTTTCTTCGCAACCAGCCCCATAGAAGGGGCTTTGGAGCTAATTGGAGATTTCATCGGATAATTTGGACCTAGGTACAAAGTTCACCAATTTGCTTTAATTTTAGAAAAAATAAACCCAAAAATAAAATAAGCGCAACGTTTTTGGTTTAAAGAGAAGACTTAGTGAGAGTATGGATGTGCTAATTTAGAGCTCTAGAGTCATAACTTACTGAGAGTAACTTGGGAAAGACTAATATTGCTTATCCCTCATGGAGAAGCATCCTGTCGAGGTCTCTTCACCATCGGAGATTTCATTATCTTCTTTTCTTTTTCAGGGATCTCCTTAAGCTTCAATTTATTTACCCAGAACTTGGTGGCAATATTTCTCAATAAAGATTTTGTCAACTTCAGTGAGTTTTAAATCTGTGGGAAAATTGGTTTTGCAATCTCTGATGTTTTTCAAAAAGTCGAGGGCTTCTTTAATAGCATGAGCTTCATTAATTTTATCCATCCACTTCTTTCTCTCGTTAGCTGTTTTGCTGATGAAAATAAACTTGTGGTTAATCTCCCAGTAAGACAAAGATTTCTTCATTGTCCATTTTTGTGGGCAAATGGAGAGATTCATGATAGAATTTAGCGGGATGACTCGATATGGCTTATTAGGGCAATCAGCTTTGGACTTGTACTCTATTAAGGATCCTTCAACAGGGTTTAATCTTAACCATCTATGGCTGATTTTGAAGCCCATGCTCTGTGATCTTCCAACGATCCCTCAATATTCCACAAATCTAGGAGAATCATTCTCTTTTTGGATGCTCCAAGGATTTTTCTGGCTGAATATAATATCGAAGAAGTCTTCAGGAACTTCTTTCATGCCCATATAGTTTAAGACTTGTCTACATTTAGCTTTAATAATCTGAAGGTTGACCTTCTTAAATCAATCAGAACTCTTCAATGTTGGCTTATTTGAAAGACGAGAGTTTTCTCAAGGACTTGGCTGGCGGATCAGGTACCTTAGACTTTCATTTATAAGGTGTTCACTGTTGACTCATACTAGAGGATTTAGCATGAAAGTGGAACTTTCTGAATAATTCAGAACTTAATGGCACCTTTTTGAACTTATATAACAACTTTAGACAGTTCAGGTATGGTTCATTTATTTTGCTAATTTCTTGCCCGTGTTTTATAGTAATAATAGTCTTTGAGGGAATTTTCTTCCAGGTGATGTCAGTGGCCGACCCTCTCTCGTAATTGGCTACAATATCGATGTCAATATTTTTCAATCCTAATAAATATTCTACGAACTCGACATAACCATTATCTCAACACAGTTGAAGAGGAGTCCATAAAGATTTGGAAACAAGATTTGGGTCGTGGTTTTTCTCTATCAAAAATTTTGCAATCTCTAGATTTCCGTATTGAGCAGCTTCATGAAGAAAACAAGCCTTTTTCTCAAGCTTTATGCTGATCACTTTTCCCTCCTTATTGACATATTGGGAGTAATAGGTTTTGAACTTGGAAATAGCCTCACTGTCACCAACTTTTGAAATCATGTTATTCATCTCTTTTTGAATCTTCTCCTCTGACTCTTTTGAAAGAGCTTCAGAGCTCTTTTCAAGAGCTCCAAGAGGGGCTTTGAAGCCATCGCCAAGGTATACATTAAGAACAGGTGCTACATGTTGGAAATGAGGCACGTTCACCTTGGCGATATTTGGATGGCTGGATTTATGAACTTCAGAAGACTCATCAGGCTTAATATCATCACTCTGCATACTGTTCTTCCTTTCTTTAGCCTCATGGATAGATTTGGCCTGAGCGTACCTGTTCAGAGACCTCCTAACACGAGAAGTTTTGAGCTTATTTACTGTAGGCTATCTATAAGGAATAGTTTTAGAAAGGAGCTATAAATAGTATGCTAGATACCAGTACTCTCAACCGAAGTGGCCCAATAAAAATTATATAACCGTAAAACTTTTACTGGAATTGTCTAATAACTCTTAGTCGATACTAATCCCTTTCAGATATAAGTAAAAGAGTCTGGGAAGGAATCTAACTACTTCTACAAACACCTCGAAATGGATCGTAAGAATTTTAAAGTTGAGCATGAAGGTTAGAGGTACGTACACTTGACTTGTTCCGTCTCTGATTGTCACCGACGGCTTTAGAGTCTATATAGGAATTTTAAATACCAAATTTGAATCTACATAAACACCAAATAACCGATATTGTGGTTAAAAAGCTTACCTTTAACATGAAGATGATACATCGATTCCATTTTGAAGTTTTAGAAATCTAATTTCAATATTTTAATAAATCATGGGGTTTTGGGGTTTTGGGGTTTTGGGGTTTTGGGG